ATAGGCAACTCTGCCTTCCCGGAGCTCCACATGTCAACCAAAAGGGGACCCAGTCCCATTTACTCCACACCAAGAACCGCAGCGCCGGGGCACCGGCCACAAGAGTTGCGCTGGCAACCCGTGGGGCTCCTCCGCTGGGAATCTCCTGGTCCGTGAGCAACAAAAATTCGTCTGAAAGTGTGGCGTCCTCTCGTTCTCTGCACTTTCACTGGGAACTACAATCCTGAGCTGCTAGTAATCAGCCTTCTTGAAGGATCTCATGATATTATTCTTTCTTAACAAAGGGAGAATATGAAACACAGACAAGAACAACTTGTGTACAGTCACAGAGTTAGTCTTCAAAATAAAGATGTATAAAAAATCATCATTGGATAACTGCCCAATAATCTTTCAATAGATTATTTACTTCATAAAAGTAAATCTCATTTTCAGTAACAGACTTATGCATGACAAATATGATATGAGATCCAAGAAGTATATGCTTGATGAAACCACAACAGGATGAAATAATAAAACAAAAAATATGGTCACCTTAATTGTGCTCAACTATAAGTTTGATTCATAAAAGAATTTTCTAGTGTTTAATATGATTACAGTCTAGGCAAAAAGGCATTTCAATAGATAAAAGCTTTAAAAATCTATCATACACTATAATGTTGGATTTTTCATATACTATAAAAGCTGGCAAAATTATCATGTCTTTTAATACTAAAGATAACCAATTCCATTTTAACAGCTGATTTTATTTTTAAAAGTTTGGTATTTAATAAATTCTTCAAGGTAGGCACTGTTGACAATCAACTTGAGAGATGTCAAGGTTAAAAATGAGGAAGGTTGAACATAAATGTTTGCTTAAGGCACACTAAAATAACTGTAGATATAGTTAGTAATGAAAGAAAAGACTACACTATGAAAATTTTAGAAAATGAAAAGCAACTTAAGTGGTCACCAACTTAAGTGACAGAAAGAAAGCTGAACAAAAGCTAACAGTGTGAGAAAGGCCTAGAAGCAAGTTCATTTACCCCACAAACTCTAGAAATAAGGGAACAAATTATCTTTTAAAAAGCAAAGGCAGGGAGGACTGAAAAAATGCTGTTTGAGAGTCTATATAGTAACAGCCCCTACATGACTTCTCTCACTTCCCCTCCCATACAGCCAATCACTGTGAGAACTGGAGATTTACTATATGAAGAAAATGAAGGACTCTGTAATCAGGAGCATCATGTACAGTTGATTAATTTATACTGTACCGATTGTACAGGCAGATTGTACTGCCTGTATTGTATAGACAGAGCCTGCATAATATGAAAAAGTCTACATAGTGAATAGGTAAGTCCTCTCCAATCCCTTCCTCTCACTCAGCTTTAAGAAGACTGGCAGTGAGGCTCTACAAACTCAAGACCTATGGAACTATATGGTTTTGAAAATTGTGTAAATGAGTAAGCCAATTACGTGTACATACATATACAACATACATAAATCAAATTTAAAAGATAGATGTGTGTGTGTGTCATACATATACACATATACATTTTTTTTAAAGTATGGCACACCTGGATAAATAATTTAAATAACCAACACAAAGAGCAAATAATAAAAATTAAACCTGTCTTTCATCATCTCTTACTCCTTAAATATGGTAGCTACTCCTTAGAAGCAAAGGAGACAGTTCTGGAATGAAATTTCTGGGTATCTATGAAAGTAGGAACATGGGTATGCTAAGTGATGAGGAAGAGGCAAACTGAACATCACCACGAGGATGTCATATTGGCAGACTGTATTTTCCCAGTAAGTCCACAGCAACATTTCTGATCCCACATGATGATCCTCCACTTTTTATCAAAATACAGTCTATTTCCCTTCCCGTAACTCTATGACAGCCTTGACAAACAGAACATGGAAATAAATAACATTATATGACTTCCAAGGCCAGATTGGAAAGGCAATATGGCTACAGTCTGGCTCTCTCTCTAAAGATGCTCATCCTTAGAAACCAGCCACTGTGCTATGAGGAAGTTCAGGACATAAAGAGGTCATATATAGGTGCCTCAGCCTCAGCTTTCAGGTAACAACCATGTGAGTGAATAAGCCTTCAAATGATTCTAGCCTCCAGCCTTTGTCTTCCAGCTGAGGCCTGACACATAACGGAGCAAAATTAAGCCTTTTGTGTGTGTGTGTCTGAATCTCTGACTCATAGAATCCCTGAGGACAATACATGGTTATTTTATGCCACTGAGTTTTAGGGTAATTTCTTATGCAGTCACAGTAACTAAAATAGGCTGGTTCTTCCAGCCCTTCCTTTTTCATCACACAGGATAATGTTAATCAGCTGCATCAAAGTAAGAGTCAAGTCAAAAATCAGGGGGAAACAATCCTCATAGACTAAAGAAATCAATCCATGTAGTACGGACACTATACATTTTAAGGTATTTAATGGAAATCTATTTAGTGAGTTGACAATGAATTCATGGCATGAGAGGGACAATACACTCCACAGGTTGGCTATAACGAATAAATGATTATACCAAAGCCACAGTGAAAATAGGACTTGACACTGAAACCATGCAAGCCAACACAAACCTAGTGATAACAGGCTTATCACTGCTATGTCCACAGCAGAGTAAAAGCAAGATCTAGTGAAGTTATATCAGCTCCTTTATTCTATCAATTTCCCTCAGAAAATACAAAAACAGTTTTGATGAGATAACACCAGATGGAAAAAAAACAGGCTTTGGCAACATGAATATTTCACCTGTGGTGCAAAAATCTTTCACAAAAAGCAATGATACCAATGGTTGACTTTACAAATCAATGATTGGTACCCTCCAAAGGAAACTGACTAGTTCTCCTTCTTGGTGAACAGAGAAATGCTGGTGAACCTGGCAGCTGCCCACAAAGGATTTCTGAGACTTAAGGGTACTAAGTGGACACAAGAAAACAAACACCAGAGCTCTCAAATCCCCATAGTTTGCAGGCTACCACATACCACTCCACAGGTTGTAAAGTACCTAACTAGAGATTTATTCACATAGATTAAAAGATAAATAATCTACCCAAAAGTACAAAGCAATTCTTTTGGTTTGAATGGCTTGGGTTCAAATACCCAGAGGAATAAATATACTACATATCCAGCAATTTTTCACAAATATTGTTACTCTTAAGTTTTTTGATGACCTGAGATAATGGTAGCTAGCACCACAGAATGGTAAACTTACTTATCATTCTAGGTAATACATCCAGCTCTACTGAAACTGCCAGCCAAATATATATAATACGTATTTTTAAAATATAAGCATATAAAAATATATGTCTTTCTAAAAGAGTAACTAGACAGCACACTGATTACTACATTGAAAAATACAGCATACTACTGTCAACTAAAGTGCTCCACAGAAAATTATGCTAGCTGAGAAAGATACCAAACCTTTTTAGAATATTTTGAAACACATTCAAAACTATAGTTAAAATGAAAACTAAGTATTAGCTAGATTTAAGCTAAGACAAAAGTTATTAAGTTTGTCTTTTCCAAAAAAGAATTCTAATATGTGAATTATAGGAAAAAAAGACTTATGTTCTTTTATCAGCTATCTCATATGTGAAAATTTCTATTAAGTAGACATTTGTATCAAGTAGAATTCCCTCCATTTTATCTCTGTTTGGCAACCTATATTCCACCTACATATTAACAGATAACAAAATACAAAAGAAATCAAAAGTTTAGCTTTTTAGAAAAGCTTACTGAATCTGTTGGGTATTTTAGATAATCTTGAAGGTAATTTCAATGATAATGATGCAACATTCACTCCTTTGTAGCCCCTTTTTCAATGTGAAATAGCTTGGAATTTGAGATAAATTCATAATCCTGCTATATAGTGGTACACAGAAAATTTTAAGCTTACACTGGTAAATAAGAAAGATTCATATTTTATATTACTTAAAGATTTCAAAGTATAGAAATACCCAAGTAGAACAGCAGAAAACATACTGGAGAATTTGGAAATAATACCAAAACAACCTGAAAAATAAGAAACTCCAGTTTGAATACAGACTGCATGTATTATTATTTTCATAATGTTAAATTTAGGGATGTGATAATGGTAGTGTGGTAATTATGAGATTCTTAGGATGCTAAAGCACTTACTTTCAAAAGGTACAGGGGGAAAAAAAACATCGTATAGAGAGAAAGAAACATAAACCGAACATGCAGAATGTTAACACTGGGTCAATCTAGGTAAAAGGTATATGAGTATTCATTACAATATTATTTTACCTTTTCTATAGGTTGAAGATTTTTTAAATAAAAAGGGAGAATACATTTTTATATGTACCAAGATATGTACAAGAATCTTCATAGCAGTATTATTTGGTAAAAGCCCAAAGTGGAGACAAATCCAAATATAAACCAACAAACTGGACAAGTAAATAGTAAATGAAAGGATAAGTAAACTGTAGTATACGCATACAAAAGGGTACTGCAGAGCAGTAACAATGAACTAACTGCTGTTAACACACCTCATGGGTAAAACTCACAAATAACAATGAGCAAAACCAGACAAAAATGGGATGAAAAAGTATTTGTTAAATAAATATTTCACACGATAGATAAGATCTGGGCCGTCATTTATCTCTGTTTAGCAGAAATTTTGCTCACAGACAGTACAAGTAAAATTACCACGAAAATATATAAACTATTTAGAAGAACCAATTTTTTTCAGGCACCCCCAAGCACACTTATGAAAACCACACACATACTATGGATCTGCTCTACTAATCACAATGCACATTGTTAGTTTCTCAACAACGTCCAGTGAACAACACTTTTTAAAAAGACCCAATTTGAAGGAGAGCATGTACCTAATATAATCCTGTACCAAAAGACTTTCTTATTTGAATAAGACTTTTCAAACTGTACCATAATTTAATAATCCTATAGTTTAAACATATATCTAAATTCAGACTTATAACCAGAGATTATTTTTTAAACAACACAAAATACTTACATTGACTTTGAAAGCTTGTACAGTGTTATCCAGAAGGAGGATGTTGCAAACCACTTCTGTATGCTGTCTGTCTCGGGCCAACTCTGATGCTCGTACATTGTAGGTTCTGCCAGCAGGCAATCGGAAACGAGAGGTCATTACTGTCCACACGAGGTCTAAGTGGGAAAAAATATTTACTGAATGAAAGATTGGTAGAAGATACAATGTAGTTTTAAAGGCAAGGTTATTATATATTTTTCAATTAAAACTTAGGTGGAAAACAGTTATAAATTTTGAAACACCAGAATAAGAATTGTAGGTATAATTTAGATATACATACTTCATCATCAAACTAAAGTTACCATCTGCTTTGAAGAACTTTTTTTTTTTTTGAACTGTTCCATCCAGAAGATTTAATACATAAAATTTTTGAGGAAATCATATTCCAATTCAAAATATGTAAACTTTGGAGTAGCCAAAAGGGGCGGGAGGATTATGCTACCTCAGTAAGTTGAGTATTACTCACCAATGCAAGTATTTTAAAACACTGTAGAATGACAGCAGGAGGAAAAGTTTAACGTTGGCAGGCCCTTCCCTTTTTTAAAATACTTAAGGTATTGGGGAAACACAAAAGTTTAAAAAACAAAACAAAACAACACTTTCCATTTTAACCATCCTCAAAATTCAACCTAATAGTATTATTACTATTCTAAAGAAAACAAAAACAAAATAGAAAAGGCAAGCAATCTTCACTTCTGAATTTTTAACCTAAGAGGTAAAAAATAGATGGCCTACAAAAGAACAGAAATCACAGTGATATGAGCAATACTAGATGTTTAAAGACAATGAATCTGTAGGTTCAAAGTTCTGAAAGCAAATTATTTGAAACACTGATTATACTAGAAAATTAACATTCATGTAAGAGAAAAATAAACTCGTAAACATTCAAACATTTAAGGATTCAAACTGTAAAACACATAAAACTTCTGCCTTAAAGACAATTAGGTAAAGGAAATACACTAAACTGGAACAAAGAATAGTATTTAGGACACTGTATATGAGTAAGCAATAAGTAATAAGCAGTATGAACAATGAGTAAGAAAAATATAATAAAAAATAGTATTTAAAATCAGTGGTAATAATTGAAGCTGATTTCTTACAGATTATTCATTTCAAAAGATTAAAGCTCAAAGTAAAAGCCAATGCTATATAAATATAAAAATAATATAGGGGAAAAAAGTCTTAGTAGGTTGACAAGCAGCACTAGACAAGCAAAATTCCACAATTAAAACACAGTGATTGGGCTGGGTGAGTTGGCTCATGCCTATAATCCCAACAATTTAGGAGGTGGGAGGACTGCTTCAGCACAGGAGTTTGAGACCAGCCTGGATAACATAGGGAAGCCCTGTTTCTACAAAAAAGAATGTTTTAAAAAATAGCTGGGCATGGCAGCATGCACCTATAGTCCTAGCTACTCAGAAGGCTGAGATGGGAGGACCCCCTGAGCCCATGACTTGGAGGTAACGTTAGCTATGATCATGCCACTGTACTCCAGTGTCAGAGACAGAGAGAAACTCTGTCTCTAAGAAAGTAAAAACACAAGTGATTGGCGAAGTGGGGGTGGGGTACATGGCCCAGCTATAATGCTGTCTCCCAGAAACTCTCCTCACATATAGCAATATAGGCAGCTGGAAAGTACAAAAATGGAAAGAGATATTTCATGGAACATTAATCAACAGAAAGAGTTGAGTAACTACATTAATATCAGATAAAGCAGACCTGAGAACAAATAAAATTCACAAGAACAGGCAAGGCAAAATTACATAATGATAAAATGGTCAAGCCAACAAGACATTAACAATCCTAAATGTGGATGTACCAACCAACAGAGCTGTAAAAATATGTGAAACGAAAACTGCAGAACTGAAATAAAAGAAGATAAATCCCATAATTATAGGAGAGCTAAACTCCCCTTTCTCAATAATTGATATAACTAGATAAATTAGCAAGAATATAAGAGAACTTAACAACAACCAAAAGGATCTAATAATGAGTATTTATCGAATATTCTTGCAAAGACAACAGAATACACATTATTTTTAAACATCTACTGAACATTTCGAGAGAGACCATATCTTAGGCTAAAAAACAAATCTAAATATTTAAATAATTGAAATTATGCAAAATATATTATCCAAGAACAACGATATCAAACTAGAAACCAACAACAGAAAGTTAACTGAAAAATCTCCAGACATGTAGAAACAAAACAAGAGTCTACGTAATCCATTAGACAAAGGTAATCTTAAGAGAAATCAAGATACACTGATCGAATAAAAAAGAAAACACGACATATCAAAATTCGTGAGATACGATTAAAGCAGTGCTGACAGAAATCTACAGCAATATATGCATACAACAGAAAACAGGAAATGTCTCAAATCAGTAATCTAACCTTCCTCCTCAAGAACCCAGACAGAGCCAAATGAACTCATAGCAAACAGAAGGAAGGAAATAAAGAACAGGTATCAATGAAATTAAAGACAATAAAAATAGAGAAAATTTATAGGGGAAAAAAAGCTAGTTCTTTAAAGGATCAATAAACATAATAAAACTCTAGCAAGCCTAGCAAAGAGACAGAAAACACAACTCGCTAACATTAGGAATGAAACAGAGGATAATAAACAAACTTTGCATACATTGAAATGGTAACACTACAAGCAACTTATACATATATTTGACATAAAATGGACCCATTCCGTGAAAGGCACAAACTGCCAAAATTCAGCCAATATGAAACAGATAATTTAAACAGCCCAATAATTATTTTAAAAACTGAATTCATAATTCTAAAACTCCCCCAAAAGAATATTCAAACACAGAGGGTTTCCTGGGAAAATCTACCTAACATTTAAAGAAAAATTAACACAATTTCTAGGTGATCTCTTCCAGAAAGTAGGAGAGAAAAGAATACTTCTCAAATCATTCTATGCAGCCAATTTTATCCCGATGGAAAACGCAGACAAAAACACAAAGAAAGAAAACTATAAACCAATATTCCTCATGAATACAGACACAAAAATCCTTAACAAAATATAAGAAACCAGAATTTGGCAATATGTAAAAAGAATTACATACCATGTACCAAGGGGGATTTTACTTCAAAGATGCAACAAGATTCACCCAATAATTTAATGATCAATCAATATAATCCATCTTATTAACAGACTAAGAAAGAAAAATCACATGATCTTTTCAATCAGTGCAGAAAAGCAATTGACAAAATTCACCACCCATTCATGATAAAAATTCTTAGAAAACTAGAAATAAAAGGATCTTCTTCAACATAACAAAGAGCATCTAAAAAAAAATCTACAGCTAACATCATATTTAATGGTTAAAGCCTGAATGTTTTCCCTTATTATTGGGAATAAGGCAAGGAAGGATAACTGCTCCAACCACTCATATGCAAGATAATGCTGGAAGTCCTAGCCTATGCTGTGAGGTTAAAAAAAGGAGGAAAGAAAGAAAGAAAGAAAAAAAAAAACAACAAACAGAAAAAGCATACAGAAATAAACAAAACTGGCCCTATCTGCAGATGACATAATATCTATATAGAAAATCCCAAGGAATCTACAAAAGCACTCCTACAACTAGTAAGTTCAGCAAGGTCCACCAATGCGTCAACATAAAAAAATCAATTGTATTTGTACATGCTAGAAATAAATATGAGGAGTCAAATTTAAAATATAGTGTCATTTGTAACTGCTAAAACTTAAAAACAAAATACTTAGGTATAAATCTAACAAAACACACACAAAACTTCTATGGTAAAAATGACAAAATACTGATTGAAAAAAAATCAAAGAAAATCTAAATAAATGGAGAGACATAACTATGTTCATGGATTGGAACACTCAAACTGGTAAACATGTCAATTCTCTCCAAACAGGCATACACATTTAATGTAATTTCTATCAAAATCCCAGTACCTTTTTTGTAGATAATTTTGTAGATAATATTCTAAAATTAACATGGAAGGCCAGGCACAGTGGCTCACGCCTGCAATCCCAGCACTTTGGGAGGCCTAGGCAGGCAGATCACTTGAGGCCAGGAGTTCTAGACCAACCTGGCCAACTTGGCAAACTCTCATCTACTAAAAATACAAAAATTAGCCGGGCGTGGTGGTGCACATTTGTAATTCCAGCTACTAGGGAGGCTGAGGCAGGAGAATCACTTGAACCTGGGAGGTGGAGAGTGCAGTGAGCCAAGATCGTGCCACTGTACTCCTGCTTGGGTGACAGAGTGAGATTCTATCTCAAATTTTAAAAATAATAAATTAATGTTGAAAGACAAAGGAATCATTGCAGCAAAAACAATTTTGTAAAGACTAAAGTGGGAGTAACTATACTGCCACTCCCAAAGAAAAACTGGAAATCCCTCTCCCAGATTTTATGATTATGTACCTACAGTTCTCAAGACCGTGTAGTAATAACAGAAGAAGAGACACCGGGATCAATGGAACAAAACAAGAGTTACCACACAAGTACAGCCAACTGATTTTTGACAAAGGTACAAAAATAATTCAACAGAGAAAGGATGGCCTTTTAAACAAAAAGTGCTGGACCAGTCAGAAATCCACATACAAAATGAAAAATGAACCTCAAACTAAACCTCACACCTTATGCAAAAAACTACTCCCTGACTCAGATTTAAATGTAAAGCCTAAACTGTTAACTTTAAGAAAACAATACAAGAAAATCTTAGGGACCTAAGTTTGGTGAAGTGTTCTTAGATATGACATCAAAAGCATGATTCATGAAACCAAAAAAAAAAAAAAAAAAAAAAAAAAAAAAAAAAAAATTGGATATTTCATCAAAATTTAAAACTTACAGACTAAAAAAAGAATATGTAAAACATTTATCTGACAATGGACTAGTACTCAGAACATGTAATAAACTCTCAAAACTCAACAGTTAAAAAAAAAATCAAATGATTCAATTATAAAATGGGCAAAAAACATAAAAAGACGTTTCATCAAACAGGATATTCAGATGGTCATTAAGCACATGAAAGGATGTTCAATATAAGCCATTTGGGAAATGTAAATTAAGATCATTAGGAGATTCAATGATATACCTATTTAACAGCCAAAATAAAAAAAATAGTGGCATTT